TTCTTCCTTTCTTTCTTTCTTTCTTTCTTTCTTTCTTTCTTTCTTTCTTTCTTTCTTTCTTTCTTTCTTTCTTTCTTTCTTTCTTTCTTTTCGCATTTCTCATCAGTAAGCCTGGATACTAACATGACGTAATACTGTCACTCAGTCACCCGCTGGTCATTTCATAGCCCGCGTTACATCAAGAAGTAAAATCGAAAAATCGTTCCAAAAAAATCTTATTTAAAAAAATGGCTTCAGGCGGAGATAATTCGGACGATGTTAGCCCGGCTGATATCCCAGAAGAGCAAGAACGAGAGGTAGTTCGAGACACTGAAGGGGTTTTTCGTACATTTGTCTATCGTCGTTTTCAAGAAGAAACTGAACGAGGAGACGACGAAGTACAGTTTGATTCTGCTCGTTCAGATGCGTTAGAAGAACTAAGATCCTTCAACGATGTTCAACGACACGACATCAACAGAATCGGACAACGTCTAGGAGAAGTTGGAGACGAAATAGATGCTAAATATAGAGACCAGTTTCACGACATGATCGATTCGTTATCACTAACGTCAGACGCTGCGTATGAAACATTTGCCGGGGTCGCTCGAAGGTTGTTTCGTTCTGGCATAAATTGGGGTCGTATCATTGCCTTATTATGTTTTGGCTATGAAATAGCAATAACTGTTATCCGTAGAGGCTTCAGTGGTAGCTTTTTAAGGAGAGTAATCCGGTTTATAGTTGATTTTATCTTCCGCGAGAGGATCGCTCGCTGGATTGCAGAACATGGTGGCTGGGTAAGTCCACAAGAAGAAACATTCTTCATCCTTGCTATAACTAATGCTTTTATGAATGGTTTTATTATCACTCAGTGATAATCTTCCTCGACGCGTTTAGACTTATTGTTGTTCTCTTCTCAATTAAGCACTTGATATCATTCACCACGAATGCACTTCATTATTCTACTAATATATTCAACACGTCCACCAGACAGTTTTAAACACTTCTTGCTGTCATCCCCATCTATTAAAATATACATCTTTCGTTTTTCACTTCCACAAATAAAATTTTAAATGCTTCAGAGACATGGCTTTTGCTCGAAAATTTAATTCAGAACTCGGAAATATTGTATTTATAAAATAATATTTTGTACTTTATTGTGAAAATAAAGAAATATGGTTCATAATTTTCGATTTCTTGTACAAACAGAGGAATTTTTCTTGCAGCCATTGCTAGGGTATATAAAAATGCACAGTACAACTATAGAATACCCTGCAAGGAAAAGTATCATAGTGGGCTGCCTACACGCGTACGTGTTTATTGTAGGAATAAACAATCGAGTACCTTGGGGTTAGGTTTAGGGTTAGGATTGAGAAAGGCTTTGGCGGGGTATTCTATAGTTATTCCTAAATAAATGTAATGTATCCCAGGAACTGCTTCACTGGTAAAGAGAGGGAGAGAAAAAAAGAGGTTACAAAAAGAATTCTATCTTAATTAATGCCAGCTTACTTTTTTTTCCAGGTATCTGTGTTAGACTTTCGCCTGTCAGAGCCAAGCTGGTACACTGTAGGCACTGTTATCATCATTGGTGTACTCGTCTCAGTTTGGGCTGTCCGTAGACTAAATAAATAAAGTCATAGTTTTGTATGAAAGTCTTTAGATTTTTCGATATTGATGGCTGTGAGTACATAAGAAGCTAAAGTCAATGTTCCTAGATTACTCCTAATAAATTATCTAACAAGACTACCAACATTACTCTCAGGGCTCAAAGTAATGGTCAGTAAATTCAATGGAATTGTCTGGCCAATTAATGAAACACCCCTTAGGCTGGTCCTTTTGACCAATCACAACACCTGTGGTTCATATGTTGATCAATGTCAATCAATAATCTTTATTTGATTTCGAATTTAATTTCATGTCCAGTCCTTGAGCAGCCATTATTTTTAGCCCTGATTACTCGTAAATGTTTTTTTGGTTTTGTATTTTTCATAGTTCCTGAATAACCTCATAATAATAAAAATAGATATATGTGAGTCGAAGATTTGAATACTGAGCTCTGAGATCAAGATAATAATTCCTTATTTTTTTTACATTTCTTCCACTTTCTATTCTCAACTTTTCATATATAGCAATAGCATCACCTTAAATTTATATCACAAATTACTTTTTTTTCGGGTTACATATTGCATTTTTTTTTTCTCACCAGAATTGTTGAAATTCGTATCACGCTGATCAAAAAATAAGCTAGAATTAGTTAGATATCAACAAGATAATTTCACAATACCCTTTGTTTACCAGAAAATATATTTTCATGAACTTATTGTAAAATAAACCTATGAGCAGGTACCGTATTAAGCAGACACCTTTGGGACCTCGTGTGGTGTGCGCTGGATTTACGCTTATCACCATATATTGCACCTTTTTTACACATAAAAAGGCTTATGCAGTAGCTAGTACATAATAGCTATATAGGGAGGGGAATGAAGATCTAAGAATAACATATCACTAATACTTTTATTACTCTCTGGAGGATGTAAATCAAAAAAACATACTCGTACAAGGGCATGTAGATAAACCATATAATTTCTGCAATAACTAAAGCAATAGACCCTGTAGGCTTTGGTGCAATGAATACTCCAGTTTTGAGTTCTCTTTTGCTCAACAGCCTTAGTCTCAGGCATTAAAATATTCAGCTATTCAACCAAAACCAATGGAATTTTAATCAACTCATATTGCTCAGTAGTATGTACATTCCTTACTATACACATTTGTACACAATCGAGGCTAAGACTGAGCAAAGGTGAACCTGAAATGTGAGTATTTGTTGCCATTTCAGACCAAGTGTCATTCCCCAGAGTATCATTTCTGGAGCTAAGATTTTCTTTGATGAAACAATTTTCTATCATTTCTTTGTTCAATGGCTGCACATGAGAAGAATAAATATGGAAACAACTAAAAGGGTCTATATTAATTAATTGTTGCAATGTAGGAGGTCCCTTATAAAGAATATAGGATTATATAGGAATGTTAAAAAAATGTGTTTTGCAAATGGAATGAGATTTACACTACTAGTCCCTCTAGTAATATAACTTGCCTTTTACTCAGAGTCTGCATGATTATGGTTGCACATATTTATAACATTTTCATCAGGTCCAATTTTGACAAATTTTATTTTCAAACAATAAAAAGATCAAGAAATATTGACGCTTTAATTCAGTTACACTAACAATTAGAATTAATTAAGTTTTGTCTTCACAAGGGATAAAAGCAAAAACGGAAGCAAAAGGAAAATTTGTTTGTCCTCTTGCTTGCATTGAGCCTGTTTTCACAAGAAAATTAGGATTCTTGCATTTGTCCCTGTTTATGCTTATGTCGCTAGCCAAAACCAAGCTTATAGGCATCTTGAGATATGATTAATGACAAATTTCATATGAATTGAAAGACATTAAATAAAGTAAATGCAATACATTGTTAGAAAGTCTTGCTTATTCAGTATTTTTCTTATAAAACTAGAAACTACTTTCTGTGGAATCAACTTGATCTATGAGTTAGCTATGCCCTGACTTAGATCAGCCCAGAGGTAGTCCAGGGTTTTATCTGCAAGTTAGCCATGCCCTGACTTAGATCAGCCCAGAGGTATTTCCAGGGTTTTATCTGCAAGTTAGCCATGTACAGAAAAACTAAAGGAGGTTTCAGGGTTTCAATGAAGTTGAGGGCTTGGATCTTTCAATCTTAGTGTCACATTACTCATGATCAGACGTAAAGCAAAATGAGACTACAATAGAGACCACTTACTCAAGTAATTGACACTAACCTTTCCATAAATGAAAACATTTATTTTAGTACCACTACATGAATATAAATTAACATCAAAAAAGATATATTTCATTTTAAAAATGATTAAGAAATACCACTATTACTAGTAACCATTATTGTTGAAGAGCAACCTGAAAAGTTGGATGTATGTCTCATTCACCGACTAGCATTATTACTGTCTTTGATTGACTGTTTTCAAAATGCTAGTCGGTGTATGAGACATAGGTCAAACTTCAATATTAAATGGTAGTAAATAATGTCACGATAAAAATGCAGTTATAAGAAATTACCAGCTATAAAACTAAAATTGCAAAAGAAAGATTATTCTAAAGATTTGTCAAAGAGGAGATTCCCCAATAAATGCTATAGAGATGATCCAAGGCTGGTAATTTCCTGCCAAGGAATTTCTTGAGTCTTTCCCTTTTGAAGGGGATTCCCTTACTGATAATTTATAGGTTACTTAGAGATTTCAAGAGAAAATTCAGATGAAGGGGATTCCCTTAGAACACATTATGTTGTCACAAATGCATATCACCTCATCATCTTTGCTTGAAGGGGATTCCCTTACAACATTTTATGTCGTTGCAAAGGCATAAGACCTTATTATCTTTAATTTGCTTGAAGGGGAATCCCTTGAAACAATTTATGTTGTTGCAAATGCATATCACATCACCCTTGCTAGAAGGGGATTCCCTCAGAACATTTTATGTTGTTGCAAATGCATATAAGATCACCTGCTTGAAGGGGATTCCCTTACGACATTCTATGTCATTGCAAAGGCATATAACCTCATTACCTTTGCTTGAAGGAAATCCCTTGAAACAATTTAAGGAGGCTCGGGGTAGTTTTGGTCTGGCACACCTAGCCGCATTGAAACGGCTACAACTTCGTCTTGAACAACTCGATCTGCAAGCGCTTTTCACACAATGTCAGGAAAGGATTAAAGGTTTCAAAAATGATAAATTAGTTTAAAGCGGCCTTTTCATTATGACGTAATGATGACATCATAGAAATCGTTTACCGCTTATTTTCTCGAAAACTAGACCTAAACTTTCAAAGCGACTTGCACCAGTCGATAGTATTCATCAAGGCACCTAACATATTGCAATATGAAAAAAATGTATGAGAGCGTTTTCCAAATATTACGCGATGAATATTTTCATGGACTTTTACTATTATTTCCAGCATGTCAACTTTTTACCCTCAAAATCGGGACTTTAATTTAGTGGATTCAATATTCAATATTCAATATGAATACTATCGACTGGTGCAAGTCGCTTTGAAAGTTTAGGTCTAGTTTTCAAGAAAATAAGCGGTAAACGATTTCTATGATGTCATCATTTCGTCATAATGAAAAGGCCGCTTTAAACTAATTTATCATTTTTGAAACCTTTAATCCTTTCCTGACATTGTGTGAAAAGCACTTGCAGATCGAGTTATTCACACATCACCCTTCCTTGAAGCATTCTTGTTGTCACAAAAGCATATCACCTCTTATCGTCTGTTTGAAAAGGCATATTACCTTTTATTATTTTTGCTTGACTTATGAATAATAATATAAAAATGTTAAATCTAAGAGCTAAAACATCTAGGAGCTAAAACATCTTAAAGAACCTGATTATGATGACTGTTTTTAAAACATTTCTGTTTTGTGACAGCTTAGGGCATATTACCCACGTAACATCATTTTTCCAGGTCTCTCTTGGTGTAAGCAAGCTTTATTGTAGTCTGGGTTAGGATTTAAGTTTGCTGGGTAAAGGCTACTGTTAATTGTATTATGCCTAAGTTGCCTTGCAACACCAAAAAAGAGCCATTATTCCTATGAAACCTCTCTCAACATCTTGGAATCTTGGGCTAGCATGAAAATACAAAATCAATCATACTTTTCCTCGAATGAATGGAATTTGTGTCTTTGCTTTGGCATTTCAAGGTTTGTACACGAGGTTTTTTTTGGTTTCATTTTTTCATTCTGATGAAGACTACCACAGCGTAGACGAAATGTCAAGAAAAATTTCAACACTTGCTTCAAACCAATAAAAACCTCGTGTATAATCTATATGGAACACGAAAACCTCAAGAATACCATTTCAAGGTTTGCTTCACGCCCAAGATAATTTTGAGTATGAAATTTCTAATATATTAGTAAATATTGTCTATTAATAAATATTGCCTGGATATAGTTGGCAGACAAGAGGTGTTAAAACATTTCTGGATGGGGGGTCTCAGTTACATAAATGAAACTATCACTGTGTTTACAAAAACTTTGACCTGTACATACTGTTTAAATGTATAAAAAATATGTTCTGTTTACACGGAACTGGATCCAAATTTGCACGGCCAGGCATATGAAATTTTTGCTTTAGATAACTCATCAGTCCCTTGTGAATATAGCCCCAAAAGGTACGACTTTTTTACGTACTAAACACAGATTAGATTTCTATTGGTTGTTGTTAATTACAGGAAGGGTGTATCTTTATTGTTAAGGCATGTCGTTGACAACCACCTCTTTCAAAATAATGTTTTTCAAAATACATAAATTTAGAATGTAAAAGAAATTGGAAGAAATGGGAGAGCAGAAAATAATAACAAATTTAGAATTTTTTGGGAACACATATCACCTATTGCATGCCAACGAATATCAATGTTAAATATCAAGTATTTAATAGTTTGGGTATGTTTCCCCATTTCAGACCATGTGTCATTACCTAGAGTATCATTTCTTTGTTTAACAGTTGTGTATGAGAAGATACATGAATATGCATACAACTTATACAAAGATCCTTATTCTCAAGAGAGTGACACTTGGCTGAAACGAAACAAAATTATGCCCAAGATAAAGAGCTTTATACTGCTTTTGGAGAGCAGAATTTTGCAAAGTGTTGATGATTATGCTGTTGCAAATTATCCAAGAACTGCTCTTTTTGCAAAACTTATGAAGATTGTGATGCTTTCCATTGCTATAATGGCCTGTATTGTGAATCAATAAACTTCCATAAATAATACCCAAATATTGACATGGCAACACTGGTAACGGCAGACGACACCAAGTTAACGGTATGATTATGTATTAGTGGACACCCTGAAATGTGCTTGGCATTTGGAGCAGGTTTGTTGACTACCTTCTTTCGTACTGAACAATATCCTGAATACTGTACTGTTGCACCTAGTATTGAGTCTACAATGGAACCTATAAAACCACCGGCACAACCGATTAAAATGATAGGCCATTGTTGTGGATACCCATTAGATTTTCCTCTGAAGAACATTGACATTACCAATACTGCATAGTAAGCAATGCCAACAAGAAGGCCGCCAGTGATACTTGCAAGAAGCCCAATGAATGTAACGCCACCATTTGTACCAGTAGGAACCTGACGAAGGGTAGTTATTAAACGAGGTTTGTTACTTGGAAATGCTGTGCCTATTTCTGAAGACCAGGTATCACCACAACTACATGCAATCGCACCAAGTATTGCCATGGCAATCAGTGAAGCATCAAAGTCTCTTGCATAATCAATAGGTCTCTCCCCACACCCATTGTCTAGGAAATATACTGCTGCTAAGAGACAGGCTACACCTCCATTACAAAAGACTTGGATCCAATTACGTTGCCCTCCTATGAAAAATAAAAAAATACAGAATACATGTATACATATATAAATAATAATGCATATAAATATCATTAATCATAAGTTTGATAAATTGGATATTTAAGAAATAGTTAAAAAATACAATGTTGGCTTTGATAAGAAGGCTTAAAAATAACCAATTTATTCGCATTATAGTGCAAAAGGAGATAAAGGAGATTAAACCTAGGAAAAGGAAAACCAGTGAACCTAAAGGAAAAAACGCTTGAAGCACAAGAGAGATAAACAACTTTGCTAATATACAACACCAACCCTAGCAGGACTTGAACCCGAGTTGCATTGGTAATAAGCAGGATGAGAAGCAGCACATTAGCTGCACTTGCATCCATGTTTTTCATAGTTGTAAATATACTCTTCTGTCTTGGCTAGCTAGTAGGGGTGAGTCAAAAACGTGCCAAACTCTCCAAGATTAGTTTAACAATGTGCAATGTGTAGTTTCAGAAAGTTTCAGAAACTTATCCATAACGACCCCCCCCCCCCCCCAATGGAGGAATTTGGAATTTCCAAGGGGTGGGGGAGGAATTAGAGAAAGAACAAAATTACAGAGTTTGTATGGAAAAAAACTGGAATTTCTGGGGTAGGGGTGAAGGGGAATGTAATGAAATATGATGCAAAAAGAATCTTAGAAAGAAAAAAAAGCCAATCATATATTCCAATCTTGGCATATTATGCCACATTTATCTCAATTAGTTTTGGAAAAAAATAGAAAACATTTATTTAAATATCCAAATTTATTTAATGCTCACAATAAACTCACAAGAAAACATTATGTATGTAAAATATGCGATATGCCAAAGGTTATAAAGACGTGACTATATGCATGGTATCACAGCCAACGTGTACATCTGACTTGGACTTTGCCCTCCTCAAATAGTAGACGCATTATCAAGGCATTGAATTGCTAGAACCTCCAGAAAATGTTAAATTTATATTTCACAACGTATAAAAACTTTCAAAAGCTATATCCCGCATTATAGAATTATCATACGAATAGCTTTACTGTTGTATTGAACAATAGTGGGCGTACGATGACGAATTTTGTTTGACGAATGTTGTTTGTTATTTAAAACTTAGTATGGACGATCTAACAAACCAAAATGACAAAACCTATTGTTAAAATGGTTTGCATGAGCTTATCATAGTAATATCACAATGGCTATGGCTATGAAGATTTACGCCTACCTATCGGAACATCAATTTACAGAGTAAAATAACACTTTTCGAAATGTTCTAGTAAAAATAGTGAACTTTGACCTTCTTGTGATGTTTTACTACGAAAACACTAAATAAAAAGAAAAAAAATACTATTCTGCCAAAATAAAGTTTGCAATGAGATAAATTAGTCATGAAAGGATATATTTCACTATAAATATAAATTTGATCTGATAAAATAAACAGTAAGCTTAAGTAAGCTTAAATAAGTCAAGTTTTTTTAAAAAAAAGAATAAAAATATTAGTAGCTGTCTGGAGAACATTTTACTTTTCTTACCTTCCTTGAAATCGTCCTCGATCTCTCGTTTCACTTCAGATCTGAACTTAGTTAGCATTGAAGAACTCAAGAAAAATATCAGCAAAGACGAGAAAAAGCAAAGATTGGTTAAAGTCAATACAAAGCCAACAAGAAGAGCAGCAATGGCTCCAGACAAGTCCAGGGAGTTGGTCTTCAAAGCTCGTCGTACTATCAAAGAACAAGAACCAAAAGCAAATCCTGCTCGAATTGGAAGATGGATATTCATCTTTGCTGCCGCCTTGAGGTGTTTGGGTAGAATAAACACCTCTATTTTTTTTAAAAACAAATAACAAATAAATATAATTTTTGTCAACGACTTCTTTTCATGTTTTTACAAAAATGAACTTTTGTGCCCAGCTTTCCACAGGGAGCCCAGTAGCTAAACCTCCAAAACATTTCAATTTTTCCCCAATGAAAGATTTTGACTACATGATATAAATAAACGCTTCTTATATTTAAGTTTTACAGGGTAAAGAAGTTTATTTAATTTAACGAATTAAAAGGAAAAAATAGAAAGCTGATGACAAGGGGGTATTTGGGCTACCTGTGTTCTCCCGCGGAGGTTTTGACAGCGGTCTTACCCATTTGTCCGCCATTTTGAGCGTTGTTTTGAAAACACAACAAACAAATACAGAAAAACGATTAATTATTATATCTTTTGATCGCAGTTTTAGCAAAAATTAAGTTCCAGGCAGCCATGTAAGTAATGTAGTTTGTTTCCTGAAGAAAAATGGCTTATAACGCAGAAGAAATGCCATCATTTTCAGACAATTATCTGGACGATTCATTCGCCAGTGTTGGAAACTCAACAAGGTCTCTACTCTCTCCTCTTTTGAACGAAAAATTACGAATTCGCTCGTCAACACCGGAAAAAGAGAACCAAAGAGAGATCGATGATGAAGAAGAAGAATCGTATGAAACTGAAAAATCAAGGAATATGGTCTTAACAAGCATAAGTCTTCGCAATAGAAGTGGGAAAAGTTTGTCATCTCGTAGCAGCCATGATCCCAGCAGAAAGACAAGTCAGAACACTACGTGTAGCTCTTTTGCATCTAGTATTAATAGTACTTACATAAGCCAAGAGAAAGAAAAACAAGAACAGCTATCTCCTTGGGAAGATTGGCTGATCAAAAAAAGCCGCCAAGAACGAGAAGAAATGGAAAAAAGGAAAATTGAGAAATGGAAGGAAAAAAGAGAATTGATGGAAAAGGAGAAGGAGGAGAAAGAAAAGAGAAAGAAAGTTGAAGAAAAAGTAGAACGATGGAGTGTTGAAAAACAAGACAAGGAGAGAGAAACAAGACAAAAGAAGAAATCAGAAATGGAACAAAAACGGAGAATAGAAATAGAAAAGCAACAGGAAATAGAAAAGAAATCAGCAGTCGCTTATAAAAAATGGCTGAAAAAAAAACGAGAAAGAGAACTTGAGGCAAAGAAAATAAAAGAAATTGAAGAAATGAAAAAGAAAGAAAAAGAAGTGGAAAAAAGGATGAAATGTGAACATGCATTTGAAGAATGGCTTAAAAAGTCTAAAAGTCAACAAAAGGGAGAATCTTATAGCTGCGGACATGGAGTATTGAAGAGCTACTATGATTGGGTGTCTTATCCTACACCCAGCTACATTAACCCAATGCCGTGGGTACCACCTGTCTCTAAGAAACACAGAGAAGCCAGACAAAGACGGAAAGAGCTGCAGCCAGTATCTCCACCTTTATTATTTAGAGATTATGAAAAGAGAAGGACAAAAAAGAATGTTGTACAAATGAAGTAGGTTTTTCAATTTCTTGGTAATCTGAAAAATAAATCTCATTTTGAAAAGATTTTTCGAAAATTACATTTCACTTACAAAATAATTGCTTAAACTAGTGATGAATTTGTTTCATTCAAGTTCCTTCAAGAGCTCTTGTAAATGATAAAACACTTTAGAGATTACACTTAATTGCAAATATATAGTTTTCAAGCTCTATTAAATTGTAAATTTTTTGATTCCAATAAGTTATTTATATATTGGGACCTTTTTGGGAGGTTCTTTTTTGAGTTGTAAGGATATAATGTTGGTGTAAAGTTTAAGAAACAATACTCAAGGAAATGATAAAGGAAAGGTTTTTTAGAAGCCTAAAGGAAAAAGTAATAAGGGAATGACATCCATCTAGAGTGCTTGCACTATATCAGTGAATCAATTACTAGCCAAGTAAAACTTAACAGTATTTAGTTATCAACTATATAGTTTTATAAAATAACTGTTTTAAATCTTGCATTCTCATTGGTTGGGAGTGTGTGCTTTATGAGAGTACACAGCAAGCACGCGCCCTTTGCATTTTATAAAAGATATAAAAAACTTGCTTGCTGTGCTGTGTGGAGTTATAAAGCACTTGGGGATCAGCAGAACACTCAAGAAGTGTCGAAAAGCACTCCGCTACGTGTTGTGCTTCTCCTAACACTTCTCTGGTGTTTTGCCAATCCCTGCATGCATCATAACTGCACACAGCACAATAGCTGCAATTAGACAATAAATCTTTGGTTTTGTTTCACGGATATATGGTGTGTACTCCAGAAATGGTTACTTCTTTTGTTTATAATATAACTAGGAACAAGCCATCATTGGCATCTTCATCTGTCTGTACCGACTTGTCAACCATTACTTTGGCTGTTTTTTCTTGTAACAATGGATTGATTTTTTCATTCGTTTTTATCAGATTTCTTCTTTCCTTATTCTGCAGTGACAAAAAATGAAACTTTTTGTCAAACATTGCTGTTCAACTATGAAGCTCATAATCATTATCTGTTGTGCCTCTACTTCAAAGATAACCAATACCGTTTTTTTCCCTTTGATTCTAAGGGGTGCATCCCTCCCTGGGTTAACTTTGTGCGCAGTACCCCTCCCTGAACAAAATCCCAGATCTACCCCTGTAAATGGTAGTCAAACACCACTGACCTTGAATAATATCATAAGTTTTTTAAAATTGTCATGGCAGCGTTTTTTGCCACTCTTCCTTTCACTTGAATGGCAGCAGTGTCGTTGACGTAATTTTGGGATCTTAGCAACGTTTTCGGAAATGTCCTTATGAGAAAAATGAAATTAAAAAACAGATTAGCAACGTGGTGATGAGAACAGCTACAAGGATAAGAACAGAAATAAAAACAACTATGACTTTCAACGCAGCAATAAAACGTGGAGGGATACTTGAAATGCAGATATCCAACGATACTCTCCATGGCCTCTCCCTTCAGGGGTGGATCTAGGGAGTGGTGCAGGGGGAGCAGTCCCCCCCCCCCCCAGATGAGCTGATATCTACTGCATTATTAAGTTTGCAAGCGAATGGTGCACCCCCTCCTAAAACGAAAATCCTGGACGATACCCCTCTATCGCCCCTGTCCTTCTATTAGATTTGATTGGCCAATGAATTCCACCAAATATGATATAACTGTTCCACTACCTTCCAATCAGATGCATCATCTATTAGTCTCCAGACTCCTGTCTCATCGCTTGGTTTTTCAGGTGCCTTTGGCAGAATGTCCTTCCAGTTGTTGTCCCACTTGTCGTTATAAAGCTGGCTCAAAGTTCTTCTAAAATATATCAACAACAACATTAATAACATAAACTATTCAGTCAGGTGCAAAACTTGCGGCATAATTGTGCTAGGAAAAGTCTAATTATTTTTATTTTCCAGAATCAATATAAAAATGCAAAGATTCACTTTTTTTCAAAAATCTTGAAGTTCAGTGTATCTTATGTTGACCAATGGTTTGCTTTAAAACCATCCATTTGATTGACAGAAGCCGAAATAATTGCATAAGGACAAACATGCACCGTATAACCGTAACGAAAAAGCTTTAGTTGATGAAAGTTTTATCATAACACGTGAATTAAACACTACCTGTAATTGTAACGTTTTTCTTCAAGACTCTCCATCCTTAACGATTTGTTTCGTGGAACGTTCACAGTCCGATGTATCACGCGTCATAACGTTAAAATAACGTTTTTTTAAAACACGCGCACACAATTTTAATGCCAAAAAAAACCCCAAGACATGGCCGACAAGGCCATCCAACGTTTTCAGTCTTTTATAAAATAGATATAAGGGATTAAACAGATACCAAATGATTGCTAGTGTTTTCGGACTTTTACTTTATTCCTTCACGAGGGCTAGTATCACTTTTCAAAAAGATACAAATTCGTGATCGGAGAAAAACTGACACCGCGAGCGCAATCGTCGGCTGTGCGCGAGCTGCCTTACAGGCTCTAAAAGAATAGCTATTTCCGAAATGCGCAAGGTTTCTTATGAATATTGCAGGCGCAGACATGGAAATAAGGCATTTTCGTGCAAAGTATACCCTTGAAAAAAAAAAAGATTTTACCGAATTGAGCCATATTCTTTCAAAAAGTTTTAATCCTGCTCCCAAACTGAAAGGAACTTCAAATTATCATAATTTAAAAGTTTCATATTTGTTTTCCATAGCGTGCCTAGCGCGCGTAAAATCTTGCCCGAAAATGCCTTGTTTTCGAAGTCGAGCACGCGATACTTTTGACAGCGCGCGCGCATTTCGGAAAAGATAAAAGAATGGTATACGAGTCAATAGACTGTTTTCTCGAGGTTGCGTGTATTTCACAATCAATTAAAGATAATAACAAAAAATTATCAATAATAAATGACAGGAAATATAGCAAAATAACCAGTATCCAGTAGTTCCAAACCATTGTTCATGGTTTTTTTATTTCTATTCATTTTTATTTAAGTTTTGATTTTTGGTTAGGAGGGACGTGAGGGCCAGGTCATGATATGCCTTTGGGGGTGGCGGTGAGGTTTACCTTAAGATCGTTTTTTTCCCCTAGTCTTAACGCCTTTCCAGCATTTTGCGGATATGAATATGGACTTTATCTTCTATTTGGCCTTAAGTAATGAATCAATAATTAACTAAAACCCATAAACAGATTCGTTTCTTTTTATTTTTAATTAGCGAGAAAGACAACCTTTTTTGCTCCCCTCCCCTCTCAGTCCAGCACGCAGTGCACCAAACATACCACGACCTGATCACGTGAAACAGCAGCCGTGTTTGCAACTCTCTTATGAATGGAAAAATAGGTTTACAGCTCGTTTTGATAAACTTTTCAATCATTATTATGTTAGATAATTCTAACGATAACATTCTCTTTCACTTTTTACACTAAGACAAACTCTGAAAGGAAATTTCATTCATACTTATCATGCACGGTCAAGCAAACGTTCACAGTGAGCGTCAAGAAACCGTGCAAACGTGCAAATTTTGATTGACAGGAGTCCATTGTTCCCATTGGTTGGTGATTCATCGTTGATTTTGAAATGTTTTCTTATTGGTTAATTATGACATAATTAACTTCGAAGAGCCTTTCGATTGGTTGGTTGATCATCCTGGCATGAAACAGGTTTTTAAGGTGTTGCGAATCTTATTCCCGCACTTGCTGCTTGAACGTCGACTAGGTAAGTCATGATATACAATTTGTGCTTCTAAAAACAGCTGTTTTTACCTCAAAAACGTCCAAAATTACCTGCAAAGACTTAGAACTGTTGTCAAAGAATGCCTAAAGGTTTTTTCCGTATCAAGAAGAATTAATATTTCAAGGAGAACTGAAAATTTTGAGAAGAAAGTTGGTCGACTTTGAAGGACCACACGTGCAAGGGGAAAATTGAAACTTTTTTGCTCGTTTATTGTTTCAAAAACTTCTTTAAGCAAAATTTGTTAATGCACAGAAATACTAAAGCTAATATTTTGTCTACGAAAGTTTTTTTCGGTATTTTTTTCCAAAGTAAAGTGGTTCGTTTGCAGCTTCAATTCAGAACAGTTAAGCATTCAAGTTGGAGAATTAAACCTGGAATAAATAATAGTGTTTATAGATATTAAAGTATTGTTGATGAAAAGTAATTTTTGAGTGAATTTGTGGAGTTTTAGCAAACATTTTTGAAGTTTTACTATTCTTTTACTATATCATAATTTTCCCGCTCTTTTTACCCGTGTTTGTAAAACATCCGAATTTTCAAAACAAACTTCAAAAGAACAATTAATATTCTAATATTTAGATATAACTAGCTAAAAACTAGTTCGATATTCTAATATTTAGAAACTTTTAGGCTTACTTGATAAGATACAATTTTATCATTACAAAATTTCTTATTTTTCCTTTTCATTTTATTTCAGGGTTTCTTGTCTTTAGGATTCGGTGTTAAAAGGTTTGCAGCAAAACCAGGTAAAACGTTTTGGCGCGAAAAAATATTTTGTAATTTTCGCTTTTTTTCTTTTTGAATTTCAAAAGGTTCTTGTATATATATATATCTCGTACTCGTCTTTTTCAAGTTTTCTTCAGCTTTCTTAATATTCCGGTCAATCTTTTTCGGCAAAACATTTTCTTTTTCTTTAAAACAGCAAGTTTTTCTAGGGAGGTAACAACTGAGTCAAACTCCTTTTTAGATTTTGAAAAACCATTCTTATATGCATTTTCGATGACCAATAATTATTTGCGCACTTTATTTATGTAAATCCTTAATAACTTACAGTACTTTTTTATGTAATTCCGATGCATATGTACATGTTCGATGACCGATAATCATTTACACACTTTATTTATGTAGCTTGGGGGTATATCTTACAGTAGTTTTATGTAATTCAGATGCATATGTACATGTTCGATGCCCGATATTTATTTACGCACTTTATTTATGTAGCTTGGGAGTATATCTTATAGTAGTTTTAGGTAATTCCGATGCATATGTACATGTTAGATGACCGATATTTATTTGCGCACTTTATTTATGTAGCTTGGGGGTATATCTTATAGTAGTTTTATGTAATTCCGATGCATTTGTACATGTTCGATGACCGATATTTATTTACGCACTTTATTTATGTAGCTTGGGGGTATATCTTACAGTATTTTTATGTAATTCCGGTGCATTTGTACATGTTCGATGGCCGATATTTATTTACGCACTTTATTTATATAGCTTGGGGGTATATCTTATAGTAGTTTTA